CATTATAGAGCACTTGAGAAGAGACACACGTGGCTATGCCAGATGTCTCAAAAAAAGGAAACAAAGAATAAAAGAGGTGGCTATACATAGCCACCACACAGTTTTTTCTGAAAAACTCAAGTAGCATGAAACAATTTTCAAGTGTAGACAAGCCTGAAATGCAGAAATCCTTCCAAATTTGTTTGGACAGAAAAAAGAGACTGACAGTGAAACCTGGCCAGTCTATCCCCTACGATACTGGCAGGTATGTGTCCCAGGCTGGTAATTAACCTCACGTTTAATTTTAATTCTTCCATTTCATTTTAAACTATACCACTGCTTACTTTGTTTTATGGAGGTTGTTAAAGATACCTCGCGCTTCAATGTAGTTCTCAAGTGGAAACTGTTTGTGTGTTACACAAACACACGTTATCACCAAGACGGGCTTTATTTCCCAATTTTGTAGAACTCTATCCAGAGTACAAGGAAATATACTAACATGAAAAAGCAAACTAAACTCTCCATTCACTTTGAGAAGACCGAGCCACGCTGATGAGAAAGCATGAGGAGTGCAAGCTCCCCCTAAACTCTTTTATAAGTATATTTATTTCATGAGATTGGATACATTTTGATCCTTCAGCTTACAGTATATGAAGATCTACACCCAGAACAAAAAAGAGGACAGTCATCACAATACAGAGACAGAAAGTTTAGAGAAATTGGAATGGAGAGAAGAAGGAAGAAAAGAAAATATCCTGAAGGATGAGTTTCCTCTCTAAGTATACCGCAAGCTTAACTAAAACAAAACACAAAGAATAGCAATTTTCTAAGGTGTTGTCTTCAAGAAAAATCACAAATCTAAGAATATCTTCATAGAACAGATTTACAAATAAAACCAAGAGTAACCTTCTCTTCTACAATCTGTGCTTTGCTCTTATGCCAATATACTTCTAAAAGGAGGTGCCCAGCTAGCATTTTATCAGGAAATTTTCATTCGAGGTTACTAGTGAAGTCTAAGCACTAGAAAACAGCCAAAAACAAATAATTCAGTTTGCTTGTTTAAAATATTTAAGCAATATTTCCTACTTCAGATTTCTCCCCTCCCTCAGACTGTAAAACTAGGCTGCTCATTAATCAACAATAAAAGCAAATAAAATCCCTTCTGAAGAATTAGGTTGAAGATCAGGTTTAGTATCTTTTATAAGCGTACTCCATGAGCTTAGATTGTTCCAAACACAAAATCCACACTGTGGTGCAAGCTGAACAAATACTAATGGTCAGCTATAAAAAAAAAAAATAATTTCCTGTGCTGCACGAGCAGCAGCTCTCTGTCCTTTAAACCTTAAGTGCTTTACCTTTTAGATAGGCACTTGCTCAAGTTTCAGCAAGGTCTGTATGTTTAAGGCAAAGAATAACAACACATAGTTAACGCTAAGGTGGGGGGGGGTGAGACAGGACTGAGTTTTAGCTGAACAATTACATCTCCATGCCAAATAATAGCTTGGATCTATACAATTCAACGCCACCAACCTTTCTGTGGGAGGTTTTAACATCATACTGAAATCTAACATTATCGACCTGGTGTTGCCGCTTTGCATTTCGCTCCGTCCTCATACACAGCACTCCCAAAGCAGCAGCAGCCCCTGGAAGGTAGCGGGGAAAGCCAAAGGCCCAGCAGCAGTGTGACACCACGCACACCCAGGGGCAGGTGCTGAAGGCAGGTACTTGGATCTAACAAGCTTGTACTTGCTGTTTACTCATTTTTGGATGGTTCTCCAAAAGAAATCGTTCCTGAAGAAAGAAAATTTAGGGTTGAATACTTATTTCCAAATGAGAAGTTACAATCACTCAGCAAAAAAGGGGGAGAAGATTTTCTGATTTCAAAGCGTGCAGCTCAGAAAACTTCCATCACTGCCCTACATACTATCAATTAAAATGGTACTAAAAAATAAAGAAATAAAACAAAACACACACACATACAGACTTAACATAACATCTATAATTTTAAGTCATTCCTACTTTTCCTGTTGGGTGGAAGCGATGATTTTGGTTTCTTCAATTCTCCCATTAAAACAATGGATGTAAAAACAAACACTGGAATCAGACATCTCCATATCCACTTGTATTAAAGAAAGTGCTAAAAACATTCCACAGACTGGAAAAAACTGGATCATCACCTTATATGCAGCAAATATTACTGATGGAAATGGAGGTTGTGCAAGAGGCAAGGTCTTCTGGGGTTTTGGTTTGATCATTCCAGTAAACATTTGGCACATTTTGAGTACAGAATTCTCCAAATATAATTTGTGAAAGTAGTACATAGAAGGTATTATTCTAC